CAGTCATGACCCCCTGGCGCCCCACAATTTGAGAACCTCTGCTGTAAATTGAACTAAAGGAACTCTTAAATCCATTTTGACCACAAGAAATCTTGTTAAATCTTTGTTGCAGCTTCAGTTYAGACTCTATCACTGATTTATTTAAAGGATTTTCTGACGTTTAAATACTTTGTTCTCTTGTTTAAGTACTTTGTTCTCATTTTTCAATGCCATATATAAATACTTTAAATGTACGTAATTATTGTCAGTCTGACTGGACAACTTTGAAAGAACCAGTCTGCTTTTTCAATTTAAACATCTATCTTGCTTTCTCATTGAGTTAATCAGGTTTACAGACTTTGACTTCCTGTCCACATGTTTGGTTTCCATTCACAGACTGTTGCACTTCATTCATACAATTACCTGCTTTGCAGCCATCTGCCCTCACACCTGTTTCCACCTGTTTAACAATCCACTAATCCATCAGGTGTTTCAGTCTGTAGGGCTCAGTATGTTGGTGCAGATGTCTGTAAATCCAGCTGGCAGCTTGCTAACCTTCTTATCCTTCCTCAGTGCAGATGTCTTGTTTCCATTCAGAGAATCACCGTTTATTCCTGCTGCCATCTGCTGCTGCCCTCACCGCCCGTCCCTCAGCTGCAGTGAGCAACCAGAACATTAGCACCTGCTCAAAAACCGGCATCAGTTCTAAATGTGTGATTATAGTTGACTTTCTGTCACTTGGCACAGAAAAACATACAGCAGGCGATGATGTCTGTGTGTGGGTTTGAGATTTATCCTACCTTTTGCTGAGTCAGCAGTCATGCTGTTTCCTGCTTATAGTTTCTACCACACATCTTTTGCAGTCTGACTTATTCTACATACTTTGTTCTATTTAATCCATTTCATGAATCAAAATGTTTTAGATTTTTAAATATTTAAGGGGGGGGGGGGGTTACATCATGCAAAATTATGCTATAATGTCATTCCCTCATCAAAAACATACCCAGAGTGTTGCTTTGACTCATTCATGCATGTTTGAGAGATCTTTGAGCCTCCTGTGGTAGCCATGTGGAGCTGCTGGTACAAAGCTCCACCTGTTTTTACATAGTTCCTCCCTGGAGCTCAGTCATTATTTAAAACAGAAATTTTGCATGTAAAAGCATCAAGACCTCTTCAGTTTCTTTCTGTTCTCTTTAATAATCTTCAGCTACTTTCTGTATTTTTGTCTTTCTTTGCCACTTTTAACTTTTAGCCAAACTTTTTTAGTTTTTAGCTACAGTTTAGCTAATGCTACCATCTGTTTTAGATACTATATCGCCAATTTTAGCATCTGTTCTGCAGCTTTTTAGCTTGTAGCTGCTGTTTTGCTGCTTGTATCAAGTGTTCTCCTGTCTTTAACTTGTGTTCCAGTGATTTTATCATCAGCTCTAGTTTTAACATGACTCAGTTTCAGCTTCTTCAGCTGTCACTGTGCGATCAAACCAGTTTAGCTCTGATGAGCTGCTGTCCTGCTGTATGATATGATTTGTTTGTGTACAAACTAATACGGTATCCAAATTACTTCTCATTCAACGACAGTTAAATTCACTCTGTCTAGGAGGCACAATTTATATGGATAGTATTTATTTTTTACAATAACAAGTTGGAATGAAAACAAGTAAAAATGAAATAAAAGCAACAACATTTTACTTCTTACCTTTTTTAAAAATGCAAGAAGTAGAAAGTACAGATAATTGTGTGAAAATGTAAGAAGTAGAAGTAAAAAGTAGGCTGAAAAATAATTACTCAAGTAAAGTACAGAGACCCAAAAAATATACAGTAACAAAGTATTTGTACTTAGTTACTTTATAACTCTGATCTTTAGATAAATGAAGCATGCATGTTGATGACTCATGAGCCATTGTGCTTTCAGGCTTCGACACAGAGGGTCTTCCATCAGCTGTGTGGCCTGGAGGAGAGACAGAGGCTCTGACCAGGATAGAGCGTCACTTGGAGAGGAAGGTCAGGACTTCAGCTCACCTTCAGATGTTTTACTAAACCGATTMAAGCTATGAATGTGTTTAGATTACATTTAGAAGGGAATTAAATTTTGCAGTTTAATAAAAGGACTGAAGGTAAACTCTTCTCTCTGCCTCCAGGCTTGGGTGGCTAACTTCGAGCGTCCCAGGATGAATGCTAATTCTCTGCTGGCCAGCCCAACAGGCCTCAGCCCCTACCTGCGCTTCGGCTGCCTCTCCTGTCGCCTTTTTTACTTTAAGCTCACAGACCTGTACCGTAAGGTTAGTATCCTGTGGTTTGAGACTTATAGGGTCAGAGCTGCTCTGACAGAAAGTGAAACATCTCTGTGATCGTCAGCTTGACCTTCTGTTTTTACATCACACTCTTCAGATTTAATGTTTTATGTCTTATCTCCTGCTGCTCAGTTCAGCAGGGCRTGTTACTTTTTGTCCTTGAGGGTTTATGTGTCTGTTAGCAAAATATCTCAAAACTATAAACAACTGTATAGCTTTTAACTCATGCAACACCGTGACATCTGTCAGGTATTTTAAAGTTAAACTGGTGGGCAACATGCATTTCTTCAGGAATGTCAGACCTTTAATTTGTACTGACGTGTTGAAATGTCCTCAGGTAAAAAAGAACAGCTCTCCTCCGCTCTCCCTATACGGGCAGCTGCTGTGGCGCGAGTTCTTCTACACAGCAGCCACCAACAACCCACGCTTCGACAAGATGGAGGGGAACCCCATCTGCGTGCGCATCCCCTGGGACAAAAACCCCGAGGCACTTGCTAAGTGGGCCGAGGCCAAAWCGGGCTTTCCCTGGATAGATGCCATCATGACACAGCTGAGACAGGAGGGCTGGATCCACCATCTTGCGAGGCATGCAGTGGCTTGTTTCCTCACCAGGGGGGACCTGTGGATCAGCTGGGAGGAAGGGATGAAGGTGAGCTGCGGAGGAAGTAGATGATCACTGTTCCTTTTCAACTGCTAGTGCTGCTTTCACGTTCCCAGCAAACTACAGTTTAGATGCAGATCAGCAGGCCTGCACCAGAACATATTTTACTGGACATTAAATTGTCTCAGAAATTATTGTACTAAACAATAATATCGTTTGGAGACCATTTTAAACTAATATAATGCTAATTGTATAAAACTAATGTATAATCCCCTCCAAAAGTATTGGAGCAGCAAGTCAAATTCTTTTGTTTTTGTTGTGCACTGAAGACATTTGTGTTTAAGATCCAAACATGAGAATGAGACGAGTTCAAAATGTCTCATCTTTTGATCTTAAACCCAAATATCTTCAGTGCAAAACAAAAACAAGAGAATTTGACTTGCTGCTCCAATACTTTTGAAGGGGTCTGTAACTAATATAAAACTAAATGTCTGTTCATGAAGCTCTCAGGCTACAGAGATTAGAGACCATGCACCTGACAAATACCTGACACCAGAGTTCACTCCTCTACGCTGAGGAGAAGAAAACAAGCAGACAAATGAAAATTATCGACCTCATTTAAATTCATTGTTCGATTAGTTGATTTGTTACCTATGGTGACAGGTCAGACTCTGTAACCATCAGTTCTAGCCTGGAAGCGCACACCAACGCACAGAGGTATGTACTGTCAGATGGATTTTTAGGGAAGAGGCAGTCATTTAGTGAAGGCTAGTTCTGCATTCACTGTTTTCCTTTTTATAGTTTCTTTCATATATTTTGTGCAAATAAACTACTTCATATTGAAGAAAGTTATTGGGGTTGTTTACTACTGACTTTTAAAAGCACTGCACATTTTATAGTCTTAGGGGAATAATGATATATTTTTATGAACTGTCGTGTGACTAGTTTTGTGATTAAATTGATTTTGTAAACAGACAGGTCTGGGTAGCTACTGTATAAATTGTGTTTACACAGGGCAGGAGGTACTTATAGATAAGATACATGCCTGAACACACCTTGAACACYTAATTGAACCATTGTTTTTCATTAGAACAGGAAAACTGTATGAAGACCAGACTCTCAGCCGTAGGCTGGCCATTTTTAATGATGCAATAAGATAGGCGGAGTCAGGTCCTGAAGATGATGTTATAATGATGGGACTTCCAGAGTTGAGGGGCTGAACGCAGAACTGAGAATAAACTGCCTTCAGACTGAGTGCTCTGGTGTGGTTTCATGAACTATTTTCACATTCAACATTCATAAATTAGTGTATTTTCTATCRGGTAAAAGCATGTAAAAAGATAAACGAACACGTTAACAATTTTTTTTTTCAAAACTAAACTACATATTCGCTATTTTACTCATGTTATGTATCAAAACGTTCAGCGTGATCAGGAATAGTGTGCTAGTTTTGGTGCTTTAATACCTTTCAAAAAATTCATTTTGATTTCAAATCAAATGTCCCTTTATCTATCGGCAACACGATGGATCAGTGGTTAGCACTGACGCCTCACAGCAAGAAGGTCCTGGGTTYGATACCCAGTTTGGGCCTGGGGTCTTTCTGTGTGGAGTTTGCATGTTCTCCTCGTGCTTGTGTGGGTTTTCACCGGGTACTCCGTTTCCCCCCACCCCCCAAAAACATGTACAATAGGTTGCCTTCAGGTCCAGGCCTCCCTTGAAAAAGAGATCTGAGATCWCAATGGGACTTGCCTGGTTAAATAATGGTAAATAAATAAATAAAATTTATGAATACATTGAGATCTCTTCGACCCGTAAAGGAAGAAGCAGGTAAAGATGATGGATGGAAGAAAATACATAAAGGTCTCTTAAACTCTTTTACAGTTATTTTCTACTTCAGCGTACTTGTTAAACTTGTGTCAAACTCTTTTAAGTTTTAGCTGCTGTTCTGCTGCTGTAGAGCAGGTTCTTTGGAACCATATTCAGCTCTGTCCAGATGTCTGCCTCAGGCTGCCACCAACATCTCTTAGTGTTAGAATGGTGTTGGCAAACATTTGAGACAAGCATTTATTGCAGTATAAATATAGTATATGCAGTGGTTATGTGTTTTGCACAGCCTGTTGTTGCGGTGACATTAAATGTTTGATGGTATCTCTTGCCTCTGCAGGTCTTTGAAGAGTTGCTTCTGGATGCAGACTGGAGTGTGAATGCAGGCAGCTGGATGTGGCTCTCCTGCAGTTCATTCTTTCAACAGTTTTTCCATTGCTACTGYCCCGTGGGCTTCGGCCGGCGCACCGACCCCAACGGGGACTTCATCAGGTGGGTACCTCTCCTGGCATCGCCCATTGGTGGCAACAGCTGATTGTCTGACATGGACGGCCTCCTCCTCCCTCTGTCTCTATAAGTTACAACACAGATTAGTCAATATAAACTGATTTAGATTTGAGGATACATTTAGAGCTAGGTTAGATTTCAGCTGATAAATTGTTCTGGTCGAGTTTACCATTTGGTCGTCAGATTACWGTTTACCTGTTTTATTTGGATTGTTGAGCAACAGTCCAGTCTTTAGGGTGCACAGAAAGCACCTTTTCATAAGTAGTGTCTGAGCTTAGTCAGCTAAACAGAACCACAGAAACACACACACGCACGCACACACACACACACACAAGTTTGTGCAGCTATCCAATTGGGGACATTCCATTGACTTTCATTACATTTCTACAGCCTAACCATGACCACAAACCCCAAGGCTAACCTAAACTCAATTCACACCTTGGTCCTAAACCCAACCCCCAACTCACCAAATGGCATTTAAACCAAATGGGGACTCGACTTTTGTCCCCAAATGTCACCAGAAACAAACACACACACACACACACACACACACACAGAGAGAGAGAGAGAGAGAGTTCAGGTTTAACCCAGCAGATAAAAGCATAAGCAGACAGAGACATGGAAACATAAAGGGAGACCTCCAGATCTCTGGGTAAGTGAAAGAAAGACCATGAAATTCCTTCAGCTTATCTTTTCAGTTCTGTTTCCCTTAACAGTCCTTCTTGTCTGTTCTAACTTCAGCACTTTAGTTTTGGGATCAGTCGTGTCTTTTTGTACCAGTTAAAAGTCTCACAGTGTCCTCCTTTGCCTTTTTAATTGTTTGTGAGTGTTGGTGATTGTGTGCACATGCATATCTGCAGGTTTATCACTGTTCCCAGATGTCCTKTACTGCACAGACGTAGATCAATTCTTCTCTCTTTCTGGATGTAGCTGTTTGTGTTTTGGTTCATCTGTTTTTTTGGGGGATTGGGGGAAAAGTTCAGCTATCCCTCTCACCTGTGTGGATTGTAGCTGATTGCTTTTAAGCTGATTGGCCTTTGTCACACCCCTCCACCCAGGCGCAGTCGGGCCTGCACCCCGGGCTGCCTTGGCTGGAAGTCAGGTATCAAGTTGAGAAACTGATGGCYGTTTGTCCTTTTTTACCTGTGCAACCCTGAGGGACATGACTTGCTCACGCCCCAGCAGTACCCTCTGGGCAGGTTTGTGTCTTGGTAGCGTCTCATTTCGTYAAAAGGGACTCTGACCGCTTGGTAGGGAAATGCAAACGTCTTGCCTGCATTCGTTGGGTAGAGCGCTGTAAAGCATTCCCCAGAGGGTAGTGAGGAGAGGCGTTGGATCAGCTGGAGCTCTGCCATGGCAGTGCTGCACTGTTGGTGCCGGTACTCGCTACCTGCGCCGCGCCATGCGAGCCAGTCCTTTGTCTAGGTGCTGGGCAAAGCCCCTCATCTGACCCTTTGTGAAATGTTCAGTGGTGCTCTGCTTAGGTGAATGCAGCCCTGTTGGTTCAGGTGAACCTGCAGCAGTGGCTGGCTAACGGGTGCACACACAAACACCTGCTTTACACGTGTCCCAGCAGCCTCGCMCATAGGCGAGGACCAAACTGATGAGATGCAGCACAAAATACACTATTATTATTTATTAAATATGTAAATTGTTCAAACAGCAGCACRTCCTAAAGAAGAAGCCTTAAAGTGAATAAGTTGACTGTTATTATTACAGATCATTAAAAAGTCTTAAAAGGCATTGAATTCATCAAACAAAAAATAAGACCTTAATTAGCCTTAAAATATCTTAAATCAATCATTTTGAGGTGGTAGAAATGTTAACACATTGTAAGTAGGATGATTGTAATTCATCTCAAAAAAAAATAATTGGTAACATTTTTTACTAATTTACAGAATACCTCGCAGCTAGTTGTTTTGTGTTAAAATAAACATTTGGATAAAAGTGTCCTTTTTTTCATTTGTGCTCATTGTAAAGTTGATCTTAAATTTCATTTCAGGTGGCATTAAAGAATTCCAAAAAATTCTTAAAATCAACTTGCTTTAAAGTGCCTGTGACATGCACACACTTCATATACAACAAGTCAAAGAAAACATCTTTACATTTAGGAAACTTGGCATAATATGCATGATTTTACCCATTTTGTCACATAACTTGCATATTTTCTTTTGAACTTTGCTCAGCCAGAGTGAAACAGGAAGTGAAATCAACTCCCTGGTCTTTGTTTATTAAAACAATATTATTTGAACTCTAATTATTTTTCGTATCGTTCTGATAGTGGCTGAAAATAACATTAAAAAAACATCTGATTATTTTCTGCAGTCTGAGTTTTTGACACTGTTCTGCTCACATGCAGACATTCCCCTTTGACATCACTTCCTGTTACTTCACATGCAAATATCTCAACAACTGTTCATCTCAGCGGTATGATTTCTTTTTTGCAATAAGTTATCAATATTATCTTTCCAAAAATACATTCATATTTATGACAAAAATGTGACGTCATAAATGCACTTTAAGCTGTAGGAACCCTGCATTATAAACTGTTACTATTAGCTCTAATAAAACAAAAATCTAAGTATCATAAACATCTGTTTGTTTGTTTTTTTTTTAACATAAAATGTTTCTCAGAGGTGTGKCAGTCAGCCAACATGCCGCCCGCTGTCCGCTGCAGGATCACCTGCTACTGGCAGGTCGTGGATCTTCCTGGCAAAAGGGTTGTGGTCCTTTTTGGTGAAATGAGGGGGCTCCCTAGTGGGCCGGCCCTGAGCGTGGTGCTGTGGCTGTGGGGAGGGAACAGTCAGCAGGGGGGCTTTGGGCCCGCCGGCCACTTAAAAGTTAACCGCCACAGTCTGGGGGGACAGGGGGAGCAGGCATGAGCTCTTTTCTCAGTTCACCGCTGTCTGATCATGGGGGGATTGGTTTGGGAGGGGGCTTGGAGCTGTGAGGTATAATGGGAGACTTCTGTCATCAACTTCCAGCCGAATGTTCAGCCCACCTTTAGTTGCTGTTCACCAGACACACGAGCTGAGACCTTTCTGTGCATAATAATAATAATAATATGTAGTTGTTATAAACTCTTTTAGTTTTTAGTTTAAAGTCTCTCTGCACCCCCCCCCTCCCACACACACACACAATTAACCACAGTTTCTTCAACTTCTAGACTAAATGGGAAGCAAAACGAAATAATTTGATGGCAGAGTTTTCCCAAAATACACCTGCTCTGGTCGGGGTGCGGGGAGGGCTCCGGGTTGGTGGGGKTCAATACTCTCTGCTTTCTAACCGCGTGTTACAGTAGACGTCTCCTAGCAGCATYCACCCAATCGGCAGCGCTCTCTCTAGCGGTGGTGCAGTCTCTGCAGCAGGCGGAGCACCGTCTGTTGTGAGTGTGTGTCGGTCCACAAGGCCGAAGCACACCTGGCCCCGCCCCTCTCTCTCTCTGCACCGCCTCCCACAGTTCCACTCGCCCCCTCTCCTCTGTCCTGTCTGTCYCCCCTCCTGGGACTAGGTAAGGTCGGACCAATAGGTAGGTGGCCTCTCATTGTCACACGGAGCAGACCCACGACTTTGATCAGAGTTTTCTTGGTTTCAGCTCTTGGMGGATTATGTTTCCTGTCTGTGGAAGGACTGCTGTCACAGTAACTCATAGCTTATGTTGTTCAGGACCACATCCCCTCGTTTCCATTTTGCCTGGAACCAAAGTCCTCAGTGTGCACTGTGATGATGCTAACTCACGTCAGTGCCAGAAAACTTCTGAAAAGACTTTCAGACTTGAACAGCATTGATTTCAACTTATTCTTTCTTGGACTGTAGCCAAACTGTGCAGTGTTGTGGTTGTTTGTACCTTTTTATTGTAGCAGCTATTTTACTTAAATTCACAAAGTGCTGAAGACCAGAAAGCTTGCAGTAATACAAATACATACATGGGCTGCAAAAGCTACAAATACCAGTATTTTTTATACAATCATCTATATAACAATTATAAAAATGTATTTTCAAATGTCTTTTACAGCAGCAAATTTCAGCTTACTGCTTAAAACACAACTGGAGTTAATAAATGTGTTTAGATGCTTAAACTCTAATAAAACATTCCACAGTGTGTATTTTCTAATGTTTTGTATCACTCGTCTGGGATCTTGTCCTGTTGACACAAGCCAGTGCTTCTAATGTCTTCCTGTGCTTCCAGACGATACTTACCTGTCCTCCGAGGTTTTCCTGCTAAGTTCATCTACGACCCATGGAATGCCCCGGAGTCCGTGCAGGCGGCGGCCAAGTGCATAATTGGCATCCATTACCCAAAGCCCATGGTTCACCACGCAGAGGCCAGCCGGCTCAACATTGAGAGGATGAAGCAGATCTATCAGCAGCTGAGCCGATACAGAGGACTGGGTAAGACACGAGGAAACATCTCCTCAGGCTGGGATTGCTTTTACTTGTGGGAAACCAGAGTTGTTTTCCTAAACCAGAGAACATTGTGGGTGGATTTCTAATCTGAACTGAACACCTAACTCCTTATTTAAGGTACACACTGATACTTCTTCTTTAACAACGTTTGCATTTTAAAGGAATATTTTTGGACATTTGGGGTTCTCTGCAAAAATTAAGTGCAAATAAAATTATCGTTACTGGATTTTTAAACCCCCTCAGTTTGAATAAATTGATTTGAAGCCTGACTGCATTTACGAGTGAAAATCGAGTCTGAACACAGCCCATACTAAAGTAGTAGTTGTCTTAAAACAACTCAAGGCTCCAAACTTTCATAGCCATCTTGTTTTTGTTTTTTTTTTTGTTGTTGTTTTTTTTTTTTTTTTTTTTTTTTTTTTTTTTTTTTTTTTTTTTTTTGTTACAGTTAATCTAAAGATCGTGTCTCTGTTACAACACTGGGTCAGAATTACAGGTGCATCTTCAGATTGGTTTTGTTTCTACCTGAGAGACAGAAGCTTTTATTTTAATGTTGGAAGTATTCTATCCACTTCAGCATCTCTTTCCTGTGGGGTTCCTCAGGGAGAGAGTCTCRGACTGCTCCTGTTTTCACTCTACCTGCTCTTTTTGGGGTCTATTCTGATTAAACATGGTGTTTCTCTTCATTAATATGCTGATGATTACCAGATGAACATTAATTCTTGTATCACTCGTGAGGTTATTTTTTGGTAGAAATATGATATTTTTGAAGTGCTCCAGGCTGCTTTGAAATTACCACAGCTAGTTGCTRCTGCAGCTACTAAGTGCACCTAAAATAATTACAAAATTAATTGTGAGTAATACAAAGTGCGATGTAAAGATTTATAAAATGGTTCATGAATCACTCTGAACATTGTTGGAAGACAGCAGCAGTCCACTTTGGCTCCATTACAACCCCTGGCAAAAAGTATGGAATCACCAGTCTTGGATGAGCACTCATTCAGACATTTCATTCTGTAAAACAAACTCTGATCAAAACCATGGTAGAAAAATAAGGTCATTCCAAAGTGCAACTTGTTGGCTTTCAGGAACACTCAAAGAAATGAAGAGAAAACATTGTGGAAGTCAGTGAATCTTACTTTTATTGACCAAGCACAGGGAAAAAATATGGAATCACTCAATTCTGAGGAAAAAGGTATGGTATTATGAAAAACAGATTACAAAAGACCATTCAAAATACGTCACTAGTATTTAGTTGCACCATCTTTGGCTTTTATAAAGGCTTGCAGTCTCTGAGGCATGGACTTGATAAGTGACAAACAGTATTCTTCATCAGTTTGGTGCCACCGTTCTTTGATAGCAGTTGCCAGATCAGCTTTGCAGGTCAGAGCCTTCTTGTGGACCTTTTTGTTTTCAATTTCCACCACAGGTTTTCAATTGGGTTGAGATCTGGACTATTTGCAGGCCATGACATCGAGTGAATGTGTCTTTCTCCAAGGAATGACTTCACTGTTTTTGCCCTATGGCACAATGCATCTTGGAAAATGATTWCATCACCTCCAAACATCTGTTCAATTGAAGGGATGAGAAAACTGTCCAAAATGTCAATGTAAACTTGTGCATTGATAGAAGAATTAACCACAGTCATTTCCCCAGTGCCTTTGCCTGACATGCAGCCCCGTATCATCAAGGACTGTGGAAATTAGGTTGTTTTCTTCAGGCAGTCCTCTTCATAAATCTCACTGGAACGGCACCAAACAAAAGTTCCGGCATCATCACCTCGTCCAATGCAGATTCTTGACTCATCACTGAAGATAACTTTCATCCAGTCATCCACAGTCCATGATTGCCTCTCCTTAGCCCATTGCAGTCTTGCTCTTTTTTGTTTATGTGTCATTGATGGTTTTTTTTTTTTAGCTTTCCTGTATTGAAATCCCATTTCCTTTAGGCAATTTCTTATGGTTCGGTCACATACATTGGCTCCAGCTTCCTCCCATTTATGCTTCATCTGTTTAGTCGTACTTTTTCGGTTTTCAAGACAAATGGCCTTAAGTTGTTTGTCTTGATGCTTTGATGTCTTTCTTGGTCTACCAGTACACTTGGCTTTAACAACCATTCCATGCTGTTTGTATTTGGTCCATATCTTGGATACASCTTACTGTGAACAGCTCACATCTTTAACAATCATGCGTGAAGAGTTACCTTCTTCAAAAAGTTTCACAATCCTCTCTTTTGTTTCAAGACATTTCTCTTGTTGGAGCCATGGTTCTTGCCACTCCACTTCATCCAGCAGCCCTCCAAGGTGTCATGTCTGCAGGTGTTTTTAACTGACAAGGTTCGTGAAATGGGTTCAGAACACAGGGAAACAAAGGTTTAAAAACTTTACTTTAGAACCGTAGACTGGGACGGACCCGGGACCACTGGCTGGCACTTTCTTTTGGAGCTGAAGGAGGAGGCTAAACAGATCCAGGTGAGGAGTCCGATTCTTGGGGTCCGTCGGTCGAGTTTTTGTCCGATATCTGTAAGGGAGGCGTGGGTCAGAGCCGGGTGATCCGAGAGCTGATAATAAATCCAATACCAGATCCACAAGGAGAGGTCCGGGGGCAGATAATGTGGTCGAGAGCCAGAGGTCAGAAGTYGGTACGGAACTGAACGAGGGACAGGCAAGGTCGAGAGTCAGGCATGGGGTCGTGAACATGAGATCAGGCTTGAGCAAAGGAGAAACGCTGGACATCTACTAGGTGAATTCCGTTCAATAATCTGGCAGTTTGGGACTGTGGCAGTAGACCTTAAATACTGGTGGAATCAGGTGAAAAGGATGAGCTGAGATTGCAATAAGGGAGTGGCAAGGCTAATAGAATAATTGACTGTGGACATGGAACATGGAGTGTTACAGAGGCCCCCCCCCCACCCCCCCCGCTTAAGGCACGGCTCCTGATGTGCTGCGTGGTTGGTCTGGGTGTTTCCTATGGAAGTCCTTGATGAGGGCCTTGTCCAGGATGTGCTTGGCAGGGACCCAGGAACGTTCCTCCTGGCCATAACCCTCCCAGTCCACGAGATAGTGAACAGAATGACCCCAGAGCCTGGAATGATGGAGCTTCCTCACAGTGTACGCAGGAGCCCCATCAATGAATCGGGTAGGTGGACGGGGCCTGGAGGGTGGGTGAAAACTTGACTTAACTTGTGGCTTGAGTCTGGACACATGAAAAGTGGGGTGAATGTGCATGTTCCTGGGAAGCTGGAGGCAGACTGCGACCGGATTGATCACCTTGGTGACTGGGAAAGGGCCAATGAAGCGAGGTGCCAGCTTCCGGCTCTCCACCTTCAGAGGGAGATCCCTTGTGGAGAGCCAGACCTTCTGACCAACCTGGTAGTTAGGTTGGGTGGAACGTCTACGGTTAGCCGTATGAGAGTAGGTGGCCGAGGTCTTAAGCAGAGCTTTTCTGGCTCTGAACCAAGTACGCTCGCACCTGAGAGCTGCGGCATGGGCTGACAGCACTTTGGCAGACCTTTCTTGAATCGTGAACAAGGGGGGTTGGAAACCATGGACCGTGCCGAAAGGGAAAAGCCCTGTGGCAGATGATGGTAAAGAGTTGAGCGCGTGCTCCACCCAGGGGAGGTTATTGGACCACTTGGTAGGCTCCTGGTTACAAAGAAGGCGAAGCTTAGTCTCCACCTCCTGGTTAGCCCTCTCGGTCTGGCCGTCAGTCYGGGGGTGGAAACCAGAGGACAGACTGACGCTAATCCCCAACAGGTCACAAAACTCTCTCCAGAACCTGGAGACGAATTGCGGGCCCCAATCTGAGACTATGTCCGTGGGAAGCCCGTGGAGTCTGAAGACCTCTCGGACGATGACCTCGCCCAGCTCCTTGGCAGATGGGAGTTTCCTGAGGGGAATGAGATGAGCCACCTTGGAAAATCTGTCAACTATTGTGAGAATAACAGTGTGACCTGAAGAGGGGGGGGGGGTAAACCGGTGTTAAAATCCATGGATATATGGGACCAAGGCCGAGGAGGGGTGGGCAGTGGTCGCAGTAAACCAGCAGGAGGTCGACGTGAAACTTTGGCCTGAGAGCATTGTGAGAATGAACAACAAAGTCCTTGACGTCTTGGGTTAGATCCTTCCACCAAAACTGGGCTTTGACAATAGTCAGGGTCTTGTTAATACCAGGATGGCAGAAAAACTTGGAACAATGACAAAAGTTAAGTACCTCACTGATGAGATGCTGGGGAACAAACAATCGATCCTTGGGACATTCAGAGGGTGGAGGATGAGACTCGTGGGCGTCTGTAAGGGTTTATTCTTACACTTCTTATAACAAGGTTATAAGAGTAATTAAATTAGCAAGGATCTCTTATTTTGGATAAACATTTCTTTAGTGCAAAAATGAATGGACACAAAAAGTAACTCTGTCAGTGAATGTTGATTTGAACCATAGTATGCGATCATTTATTTTACAAATCATACAAAATTGACTAGAGTACACCTGATTGTGAACAATTAATTTCCTATAAAAGTTTTGGGACCAACAATAACAAACTTTTAACTTCTTAATTGTTAACCACACTTAAATAGAAACATAAACGTCAGGTTAGATGTTAAACACCAGACATTTGAGGCTGTTTATCTTAGGAGTTGGCAAGGGCAAGGTTAAGAAAAAGGTTGAAGAAAGGTGTTAGCTTTTCTATACTTTATCTTAAATAATGTGGGTTTAACCAGAAGGGCGAAGCGTTCTGTGCTCAGCTTTGGTCAGACCTCAACGTCACACACAGCCAGCTTTTACCTTGAGATGATGTTCTGTCACCTGCCAGGTAGATGGGGGCGCTGCTGGAGAATCTGTCTTTAGACCGTCGAACAGGGAACCCCAAGGCGTGCTCTTTGACTCGTTTAGCGTCCACGTCAGCCGTAACCAGAAGACAAGGCCTCGACTGGAACCCAGGTTTTAAATAAAACTTCCGTCTGGAGAGTTTCTGAAGTGGATAAACCG